CCACCCCTATAGTTTCGGGGACTATTCCGGAGACCATTCCGAAGACTATTCCGGCAATCATTCTGGTCACATATTTATAATTTAATTAGTCACATATTATTTTTCAGTCACAAATAATAATTTTTATACGTCACAGTTCAAAAATTTTATAGGTCACATTTAATTCGTTGGTCACAGATTTCAAAATTAGTTGGTCACATATCAAAATTTATAAGTCACACGGTCACAAATCTCCAAATTAATTGGTCACAAATTTTTTACGGTCACAAATTATATAATTTTTAGGTCACAGATAAAAAAATGATTAATTTCATTGGTCACATATTTTCAAATTTGTTGGTCACAGTTTATTTTTCAGCCACACATTGTCAAATTTTTATGTCACAGTTAAATACTTGGTCACAGATAACCAAATACTTGGTCACATCCACTAGCACTACTTCAGCCACCATCACCACACAAAACACTACCACCACCCATAGCCACCAAACAAAGCACGGCCACCACCCCAACTGCCGATCCACCACCACAGACTCCACCACACAAAACACCTCAAATCCCTCGTCGAGAAAATCACCGCAAAATCACAACCAACAATAACACCAAAATCACCACCACCGAGAAAACCACACACATCCGGCAACATACAGATCTGCCACCAACAACAGCAAACAACAACAACCAACCTCGAACAACAGCCACACACAAATCCACCCCACACCCACAAATCTGCCGCTTCTCCGATTCCCTCAACTTTGATCCGCACAAACCACCGCCGAGCCACATACCCATTTCACTGTAATTTCGTCGTCCACCCAACCGTAATTTCCAGGTCGCCACATCCACCAGCAACGCTGCTGCCAGCTACTGAAAGCACCCAACTGAAAGCAGCGACACTGCTGCCGGCGTCGCAGCAACCGCTGTTGACTCGCATCAGCGTCAGTGTCAATGTTGCAACAAACGCTGCTGACTCGCAGCAGCGTCTGCCACTGGCAGCAGTGTCAGCAACAACACTGCTGAACGCAGCGACGTTGCTGCTAGTGTCGCCTCACTGTCGCGCTACTACGACACTGGCAGCAGCGTTGCTGCAATGTGACGCTGCTGAACATGAGGGGGAGGGGGAGGGGGAGCGATGAGGAGGGGAGGAGAAGCAGGTGGAGCGCGGTCGGTGGAGAGAGTGGAGAGAAATGTTGAGAGAGAGAGTTGAGAGATGGATTATTTTAGGGTTTGGATAGATTTAGGGATTGATATTTAAAATAAAATACTTGATTTTTGAATAAATAAACTTTCAACCTGATTTTTGAATTGGTGTAAATTATACATCTGATTTTTTGTAATTTGCCTTGAGAATTCACCCCAATTTTAATCTGTCGAGCCCAGTTTTGTTTTAATCATGTTCCTGCATTATAGAGTGATTTCGAAGGAAAAATTCTTTTATTATCTTCTATCAAATATTGTATTATCCACTGACATTCAAGTTAGACATGCACACTATTTTTTTTGTGAATGACGTAGTTTATAAATAATTTTAGGTCATTTTTACTTTTTTTCTTTATACGAGCTGACATTCTTATTTCGTTTAACTTAAAAGAATATGCAATCAATAATATTTTTTTAATTTAGAACAAAATTTAGTTCATGTTTGCTCTCAAATTTTAAAAATTTATGTTTTTCAAACTAATTTTCAATAAGACATTCATGAAATCTATAACATTTATCAACTTTTTAATCAAATATTTCATTAAATTTTATTAAAATCTATTAAAAATTTGATTATTAGCCAAACTAAACATGGGCTTAATTTTTATTCTTACAAATAAATGAGGTGGAACATAGCCTAGTCCATGGATGGGACTAAATGTTCGGTTGAAATCGCAAACGTATGAGATCGCTGACAAATAATAATAAATTGAGTTGTGAGTTATTGTCCCACGAGAAATAATATTTAAACCTAGTTCACTAATCACTACTAAATTCGATGTTCAAACACAAAAGAGTAATACTATGTAGTTCCACTGGATTTACAACCCAATTTAGAAGGCATTAAATGATAGGTTGAGTGAAAGGTGAAACTAAATGACTTATTTAATTTCACATTTCATTCAACCTATCATTTAATGCCACCTATACTGAGGTTGTAACTCAGTTGGACTATAAATAGCATTGCTCAACACAAAATATGTGATTTTGTTGTTATTTATACTAATTCTAAACTAGGAAAGCAATAAAAATATTTTGTCAAATATGGTAATGATTGTATTGTATTTCAAATCCCCCTATTGCCATTTATTTCAATTCTAAATTCGTAATCTAGTCAATTTCATGATTTATTGATAACGATAAAGCTAGTGTATTTAATTCTTTTTTTCATGACAAATTAAATTTGTTATAATCACGACTTGGTCCTATGTCTAGTTCAAATTCATATGACCAAAGTGCATTAAATTTTAGATTATTCATGTGAATGCATATGTGATAAAGATTATTCTTAATTCTATCTACATATGTTAATTTTGTCGTGTTCTAAATTTATTTGTGAGTCTTCCAACACTACAATAAACAACTAATCATTCAATAACCGATCAATTAAATAATGCAATGGATATGCAGAATCAATCAAGAAATAACTAAATTACNTATATATATAGCATTCTAATGATTAAATTATACAAAAAATATTGGAAAAAAAAAACCCGGAAAGAAGAAATAATGAAGATAGTAGAAAAATCCACTTTCTTAATTTGAATCTTAAAAATGGAAGAATATTCTTCAATAATCTTGTGTAATTCGATCTTGATGCTCAGTCTCGTTCTTGAATGATTTTATTATATGGATCTAATTTTTTAGAAGTAAGATAAAGATCTTCCAATGGCTGCCCCTCATAAATATTCTATATGATGAAATTAGGTGAAGATTTACATTCAAATTGCCTTCCAAAAGAGTTTCAATCAAATAAGGAGAGTTGCTTTCACACGCGCATGATTGTCTCTTCACAGTTTTCAGTATTTTGGTCATAAATTTATCTCCCGATATCCGATTGAGATAATTCAAAGTGAATTGAAAAACTAACTCAAAGGATTAGAATTCTTCGAAAATATAATTTTTCCAATTCGAACGCTTACTATTCCAAAAATAAGTCTCAAACCCTAGTTGAAAATCTAGAATATGTCTTGTGCGATTGAAAATTGATTTGTAAAGATCCTTTGATTATATTTAATTCTTTTTTGACTTCTTATTGCATCTAATTGACACATAACACTCTCAAATCTTTATCGCGAGGTCCGTCACAATGTTTGAGTATTTGAACTTTAGTCCCCACACTTTGAACTCGCTTCTTTTCAACCATTTTTCTCGTGTAATCTTGTTTCTTTATCATCCAATTGTATTCAATTAAATCCTTGGGATCTTCGATCTTCATTTTGTTGCCCGTCTCATTTATGGATTATTTGCAATTTAGTCTCCAACTTTTGGATTTCGCCAATTTTTTTCATTATTTTTGCATTCTTTTCTCGAATTCTTCATCAAATATTGAGTTTTACCTACAAAATACAATATAACACAAATTAGATAGTATTTTATCCAAACAATAGTAAAATGTCGCTATTTAGGATCTCGAATAAGTGTAGAAACACTAAACTCGAGTAATTATTTATATTTTTTTCCTTTCATATCATATACTTTACTTTTCTCACATTCGCACTTTGATTAGCTAGATATTGTTAAATGTAATGGGTTAATCATTCAAATTGTGAGACTTGCATCGTTGAATTTCACCTCGTTTCATATATTTTGGGTCATTTGGCAATGTTCATAATAATGCATGAAGATACCTCATAGATTAGTTTCAAGGATAAAAATGCACTGCTGGATGGTCACATCATTTTTTATCCTTTTGAGTAATTTTTCACTGATTTTTTTAACAGAAAACAGTTATGTTTTAGGGTGAGAAACAACTTTTATTTTAAATGTCATCTTGACCTAAAATTGCTATCAACGTGCCAAGGAACCTTAACAAGTACTGTTGTTTATCTTATGATAGTCTACCATGGAAGATTACAGCTATCAAGTTGGCTAACAAAATTGATGGATACAAAAAAGCCAAGGAAAGATTAATTTCCTAATTTGTTAGAAGTTGCAACTCTCCACTTCTCAGTGCCATCTTGAGCAAAGTGAACGATGAGGTTGTCAGTTGTGCACTGGGCGGAGAGCTTCCCCAGAAAGTAATGATAAGTAGAGACTTCGTTTGTTTAACTGCTTGATGTGATCAGATTTTAAGACCTTTCTGCAAAAGTAGCGTTTGTTGGTTCCTGCAATGCTCATCAAATATACATCTATTCACCTCTACAAATTATCCTCATTTTCATCTTTTTCCAAATTTACAAGTTCTCCTTGAGGTTTGTCCATAGATTACTGATGAATTTGCAAATTTAGGCACTGTTAGTACCCTAATATTATAATTGTTTCACTGACTTACCATTCTAAATAACAAAGGCATGTTGCCGTGTTCTTCAGATTTGACAATATATTAAAGGGGGAAGTTGAACCATGCCAAAAAATTGCCCAGGAAACTGGGACCTAACAACACAACAAAGCCAAAATGCTTCAGAAGATGCAAAAGTGGTGATGCTTCATACAGTAAGCACATTAAGATTATTCAGGTCTGCCCAGCGGTATACATCTTACTTTCAAATGCTCAAAGGTGGAGTATCAAGCCCCTTGCAAATTACTAAGCATTGAGAACTTGGAAAATGTCAATGAAAATACAATGTATGATCGTGTTCTTGCATGATATTCTGTCAAAGAACTTATTTGGAATATTGCAAGATGAATTTGAAAATAGCTTTGGAATACTTATTTTAAAAGGCAATGCAAGAAGGTCAAACAAACAGTATTTCCAGTAATATTAAACAGTCATCTGAAAATAAGTGAAACTATTACATTATAAGAATTTTTGAACTTGACTTATGAACTGTGTTTTTTCCCTTAAGTTTCTACTTTCCCCAGTCATGCAGAATCCTACCAGTATTATTCCCTGCTGACTTGTTAGGTAAGGTGGACCGTACAAAATGGTATGAAAGAAGAAAAATAAGTTTAATTTTTTCGTATTATATACTACAATTCTGACATCGTGTCTAATACAGTATCAATAATATGCCATACACGGCGTATCCCAAGGTGGCATGCTTGTTTGATGTAGAAGATGCTATCAAGTGTGAGCCATGGGAGGCTAGAGGCGAAGAATCATGGATTATTCACAATTAAAGAAGATATTTCCTAATATATCCACGTGTTCCCTCATTGTGATTCGATGATCTTATAAAACCATTCATATTTATTTTTATTTTAAATGCATCTCTTTCTAAAACATACCTTGAAAAGATTCACTGAGACAATCATAAAGCTTACATAAGAAATCTATGAATCTACTAGGATTTAGGACCTTGAAATGTAATTGCGCAGAAATATCTCTAGATATGTCCCTAAATCTAGAGTTCATCCTTTGGTGGTTTCGGGTTGTCTGCAGATGACTTGATGGGATAAGAGGCATCCATGGCTAAGCCACATAGTCCCTCTTCAGCATCGATATCGCGTTGCATCCTAATGAAACCCTGTTCTCCCCATTCGGTCCCCCATGAATTCTTCACTATCCAGTATTTAGTCCCCTCAAGCGTCGTTCCATATCCAACAACCCCTACCCCGTGGTTTAGCTCTGTGCCGCAATCTCCAGTAAATACTCCCTGCAGTAGTAGAATATGTTTTATACATCACTAGGAATTAGGGTGACTAATATGTAGTCCTAGTTCCCTGACTTTCTTTACAGGCTGGATTAATTAAAGCTCCACTCAAGGTGGAGAATGGACGCAATGAAGGGTAAAGGAATAGAACTCACTTTCTGCCCCAGAGGCCTCGAGGCCCCTGAATAGAGTTGAGAATGTGACCAAGGGCAAGTTTAGTACGCTGGATAGGATTGGAAAGCATAGCACGCAAGATTTTTTCTTTTTTAATTAATTTGAGTGATGCTATCCAGTCCAACTCACCGACATGCCGTAAAGGTTATGAAGTTGTACCTCGGAGTAGAATTGCATGTCAGAACTACCAGCTTCGATTGCAACAGATACCGGCTGGTTTGCAACAGCTTTCATCAATGCATTCTCGTTGTTCTCAGGTACGTTTTCATGCCCATCAATTATCACTGCAGGCGAATTCATCTAAAAAACCCGAGCAGGAGAAGAAAGGCATGAATTAGGCATCTGTTTTATCTATAAATTTACCAAGACAATTTTTCTTCTACCTTAGCAGAATCACAGTTTCCATCTCTGGCTCTGTAGGGATATATTCTCTCAGTCGTCAATCCACCATGTTTCTTAATGAAATTAAATGCATTTTCCATGAGTCCTCCATTGCAGCCTTCATTGTCCTTTTCACAATCGACCAGCTCTTGTTCAGACAAAGACACTAACTGACCACTTTTAATCTTGTTGATCCCCTCGACTCCAACCACAGCAGAAAATGCCCAACAACTGCCTGTGAAATAAACCAAATACAGAACAACTCAACCATATTTTCATATGACAAATACAGCGATATGACACGAAATTTTCGTGTATAATATATTATATAATTCAGAATCTTTAGTTATTATTGACACAAAACTCACCACAATTGCCCTGATCCTTGATACCAGTGACAGCCCCTTTTTTTCTCCAATCAATCGATGCTGGCAGATTCTTAGCCTTTTTGTGCATGAATCCCGTCACAGCCCGACTGCCTCGAAGCATCCGGTAGTGTCTTATCTTAGAACTGAAATAATTCTGGAATTCATGGCTGGTCATATCAGCAAACTTGTTGAGTTTCAGCTTGTATGGCCTGTTTATCTGGTTCACCTTGTGAATGTGCAGGACATTTGCCTTGAACACGTTGAAACGCTTTCTTTTCTCGGTGAGGTCCCTAGACACAGTGTGGTGGCTTCTCCACCGTTCGTACAAGTCCCATAAGCTCTCATCAGAAGCCAGGTCTTTTTCTGTGAACTCTAAGCTCTTCGCAAGGCCAAAAACCATTGCCAATAACAGAGAAACCATAAAAACCATCCTGATTTCCATGATCCCGAAGTAAAAACTCAAGCTTTCTCAGGTCGAGGATACCTACACTAGTATGTTCTTATACAGATTATGGTGCCTTGCACAAGAACTTCTTGCATCATTGTGTGTTCATACTTTGTATCTTTTGCTGAAATTAAGGAAAAAAGTTGTTTCTTCTGAGGATTAGTGTACTATTATTAGAGGTGACAACTGTACATGCCCGCCTATCGTGCCATGGCTGTTTAGCTTTTATCACAGAAGGTGACAATTTGGCTTGCATGGCCCAACATGATTTCTTTCAGGCATCTATACTTAGAATGCAAAAGCTTGAAAACGAATCCGCAGCCATACTCAACGTGTCTATCGGTTGATTTTACACGTTAATGTGTCTCGAGTTTTCTCTTAGAAGAACGGCTATCTACGTTAATGAGATGTAAGGTTTCCACTTCTTCCCAGTAAAAATTTGCTTGTAAAATATGATTTGTGAGTATTCTGTTAATGTATTAGTTCACTTCAATATTCGTAGATTTTAAAGAGCGTTTTCTGAGTCTGCAAAAGAAACGTAAGAACTTTTCTTTTCCATAACAGTGAATAAGAACTGTTCTTTTCCATGACAGTGAAAACTAACAACACGACTGGGCAAATTACCGTGATATCTGTAATCTGCTTCGCTAAATTCTTTGAATTGTTCTGTGATTGTTATTGCTCTTGAAAGTAAAGTTAATAGCATCATTGACGATTAGCTAACCTAATATACACATTTCCATCAGCAAGTACACGTTCCACTTAACATCAGAACACTCGTATAGGAGATGGGGCTTCATTAGTATGGACTACACCAAAAGAACTTCCGTCACTGCCCTACGTAATATGAGGGAGAGATCGATCTTGATGGCCAAACTGATGAAATGCACTCAGCAGTAGACAGAATCAAACTCTAATAAGCAAACAAGATAGAAATCATAAAAGAAATAAATCATCAAGAAATTTATCCACAGAAATGAAACCAGTGAACCTGGACCATACAAGTTTCTCCATAGCGCAAAGAGCATCAATCATTAGACCAAAAAATTGCATAATTCAAATAAGGCCAGAAATGGTGTTATAGTGTTATTCATTATATTAAAAGCAACTGCAGAAAATAGCAATTGAAATACTGTATGGATGAAACCTAAACCAGAGAAATGTACAAATCAAGGTGCATCAATGACAGTCAACTGTAAATTCAATTACAAAGTCGTGTTTTATCTGGATTATGTCAAACATAATGGTTACATTCCAAGAAGAAGAGATGCACATACAAGTGAAACCAATGAATCCAGACCAAGCAAGTTTATCTATCATGTGTGAAGCATCAATCTTAGCACCCAAAAAAAAAAAACAGAATTCCAACATGGCCAACAAATGATGTTATTCATCATATTTAAAAGCAACTGTAGAAAATAGCAATTGAAAGTACTGTATGGATGAAACCAAAACTAACGACCAAGAAACGTGCAAATCAAGGTACATCAATGACAATCAACTGTAAGTTCAATAACAAAGTCATGCTTTATGAGGATTCTGTCAAGCATTATGGTTACAACTCAAAGAGACAAGATAGCCATTGTAACTTTGATAACAGTTAAATCCATCAGCAGCTCAGGTAAGAGAGTCCCTTTCTCTTTGCTGTTGATATAGCTCCTCTCTCATTCTTCTGATCTCAGCTTCCTTCTCCATTTTCTCCTTCTGCAGTTACATCATTATCGAGGAAGAAAAAAATCTAGCTTTTAGCATAGAAATAAATAAATTAATAATCTTACTGCAGCAGTTAAGCATTTTTGCAAAATTTTGAAGCAAGATTTGTTAGAGAAAAGAGCAACTTTTCCGACAAAAAAAGAAGATTAAAGTAACTTGACTCATGTTTATAAACAGTTTATAAGCATTCAAGCCACTTTTTATCGGCACATTTCGAGGAATCAAACACTACCCACTTGTCCACCACTCATTTCTATCTATTTTTTTTATACAAACTGTTTATTAACACTTCCCAAACATGATCTTAAATAATTTTCAAGCTTATCATACCAAATTCATAAGCCCAAGAATACACTAAAAATAACTCAATCTCAGACAAGGCAACCTGTTAATAATTCCTCAGCCAAAAACTTGTTTCAGACGCAAGAAATCCGGAGCTTTGGAACATATTCATTCTATCCTGATTAAAGTAGTCTTAGGAACATCTTTGATTCATTTCAAATGCAAAGCCCAAATTCTATGCTTCCAAATTCGAAACACAATGTGACGTAGAATCATAGATAAATTCCTTACAACTACGCAAATAAAATCTGTCTCACAAAAGTTCAAATTTTGTACGATAAACCCCTCAATTTACTATTCCAACTCTCTATTTCCACATCTAACATGCCTAGAGATTGAGGCCGGAGATATCGAAACTGATAACTCAAACATAAATAAACACAGATCCAAGTCAAATCTGCAAATCAATTTTCTTTTGTATCAAAATTAACCCCATGAAACGAGGTAACCCGTACGCAATTGAAAACCCAATTCAATCCTGGCCACGGTAAACCTTAAATAAATCACATATAGTCATATACGAATATATATACGTATAAAAACGGGGTGGGGTTGGGGTACCTTCTCGTCCTGGTGGAGGGCGATCCAGACATGAACTTTGTCCATGGTCTGCCAGAAAATGAAGGCTCCAAGTGACATCCCAAAAAATGTACCCATTTTCACCATCTCCTTCAGCTACCAATCAATCAAAACAATTTCTCTCTCTAAATGGAACCTCCGAGAAATCACTGCTCTTGCTGCGTGAGATAGGTTGATTTTGCCCTTTGTGAACGCCGAAGGAAATTAAAACGACGCAGCTTTGAAAGTATATAATTACAATTGTGTCACTATACTTCCATTTTTTGTCAATTGTGTCCTTACATTTCACTCCAAAATCATTTCCCTATCTCTGTCGTATAAACTATAATGATAGTGTTAAATGCTTTTGGGGTTCAGGAGTAATTTTTTTTTTTTTTTAAATTTTTATAATTGTATATATGTTATATCTCAAATTGGAGTTAACGATAACAAAGCAAAAATCGATCGACGTAAATGTCACTAGACTGAAAAGTATTAGTACAATAGTAATATTCACACGTGCGTTAGTGATTGATGGCCACGTTATTTATTTAATGTCAACCAATTTCACAGAATTTGATTTATTATTTGAAGTATAGTGACAATTGATGAAATCGATATATTTTCGTTGACTACAGAATAGTTGTTAAAATAACATAAAAATATAAGTTAAGTGCTTAAACGAAAAATAAACAAAAATTGAGTGACTAACAGAAAACAAATTTGTGTTAGGTATCCTCCAACGAAAATTTCCCAAAATCTAGGGTTTCACATTTTCACATACATAATAAGATTCACAAATACGCTATTCATATTTCGATTAATGGATTTGTAATGGAGTTATGAAGTACATGGCTGAATTTCTGAATTCTCACATGGACCGCCGTCCAAACAAGAGCCTCAAATTAGCCTGAAACCAACCTCCTCACGCTCCTTCCAAGTCAATTTCCGGTTTTGTAATTTTTTGCTTGATTATAGTATGATTAATGAAATTTTATCCGTAATTCGGTTGCAGTTTTAGAAATTAGAATTTTGTTTGATTGAGTGTTCTAGATAGGATAATGGAAAATCTTAGTTGAAAGGATTAGGGGTTTCCTCAATTGTTTTTTTTAACTGTTTTATATCACTAGAGAAGTAAGAAATGAAATTTTTATAGTGATAACTGAAATTTTATAGTTAATTCATGTGGCAGTTCTAGAAATTTGAATCTGTCTGCATTTCTACGTGTTCATTGAGTGTTTTATATAGGGTAATGGAAAGATCTCAGTTGAAAAAATTAGGGGAATCATCAATTCTTTTTAAGGTTTGTCATTCAAAATGCATGTATCGTTAGAAATGTAAGACTTGAAGTTTGCGTGGAAAAATCAATTTTGTCAAATTACTTCATGCTTCCAGCTGCAAGAGTTACCACAGAATCCATTTCTTAAATGTTAGCTAGGCCAAAGGTAGCATTTTTGTAAACATGAATCTAACACTGTCGTTATGGCTGTATCAGTCGTTGCTCTCATCATACGGATGAAATGAATATGGTTCAACTGTTACAATGGGTACTGTGTGGTACATTGTCTCTGAGCTTTATTTTCAACTAGTGCCAGTGCTATTACATTTATTTGGTTCAGTAGAAAGGATTCACATAATTTACGATTACCAAAACGAAGCTTTCAATTAAAAAATGCTCTTTTGATGGGAAGTTTTGTTTTGGTAATCATAAATTATGTGAGATTGCCTGTTCATTTCTAATTTTCAAGGTTCTGTGTTGACTGTTTATCTCATTTAAGATGTAAAATGAAAATAATTTGACCCTAAACTTAGTTTATAAGCAAGCCAGTTCCAGCATCACAACTACCGTGTGCTTGCCAAAGTTTTGACGTACCCATAGTCCCAAACTGCTGGAACTCTGTAAACAAAACTTGTCACCTTCGTCAAGCGATTTTTCTGAGGAACTAAAATAAATAAATAGTTTTGAGTAAAATTTGTTATTGCAATTTAGGAATCAAAATAAATTCATAGTTTTGAGTAAAATAGTTTTCACGGTCCAAGTCCTGATTGAGAAGGTTATTCACTTTTTGTCTAGGGAAAAAGAAATAACACTTCTGTTACATTCTTTCTCGATCTAGATAAAGCATTTAGCCAACCCCAAGTTTACTGGGGATAAGGCTTAGCTGCTTCTTATGGTCATTGATTGTCAAGGCAAAACAGTATTTTGTTTTAAAGTCCAAAGTTGGTGCGCATTATTTTTTGCTATTAAAAGAAATGTCGCATATTCCATTTCATAATTTCACGTGAATTAGATCACCCATTATTAACAATTTATATGCATAATATTATTTTCGTGATCTCTCTTTTGCTTCTCTCCCCCCAATTTATGGAAACAAATGACATTT